ACAGCTCTTCACATCTGTCTCCATCCTGTGTGTTAGGAGTTCAGGCCCATCACCAAGTCATACTACAGCTCTCCCAGTTCAGCAGACCTCATTCTATAGACCCTCCCTACCCAGAACCCACTGCCTTACCTGCCTCCAGACCATGGGCCCTGTTCTTACCAGGCCCCTGCACTGGCTGGACCCTGCCTGCCTAGAGTTCTGGCCTTCCTGTCTGTTTGTTCTTGCCAGGTCAGCCTCAAGGAATTGTGTGCCCTGGCCCCCAGAAATGCTACTTTTTATGTCCATCTCGAAAGCATCATCACTGTGAATTTTCCATGCTTAGAGAAGTTTCTTCTCCCTCTAACACGAGTGTTTTTGCTGTGTTTTCTGAGACTACAATACTCCTGGTAAACAGTGGTGCTTAATAAATGCACTGAGCCTGTGATCAATGAACACAAGTGACAACTCAGAGGGCTAAGTCCAGATCTTCAGGTCAGGGAGGCAGAATAGTACAGGTTGACATGGCCAGTGGAGGGCAGATGTGTTAACCTGGGGGTGGGGGGAGGGTAGGTGTTATACAAGGGGATTAGGGGAGCAGGGGTCTGAAGGCTTTGGAATGCACCTTCAGTCCTGGCTTTAGGAAGGATATATGTATGGCCCCAAGGGGGCGCTGCTGAGGAGGATGCTGGGACATCTGTGAGGCTACCTGATAACTGTCTCTCTGGAGCCAATGTGGTGCATCACCCTCCTCCAGTGTTCCAGCCTGGAGAACAGCCTGGGTGAGTGGGTCAGGGTATCGGCCAAATAAATGAGCAACTGTCCATGTCTAAAACACTGAAAATGACAAGCCCAACCTCAGGGCACACAGACCAAGTTCAAGTAGAAGAAGGCCACCCAGCCTGTGCCTGAAGATTCAGTAAGCAAGACACAAAAGAATCCAATCAGAGGACAGAGACACACAGGCTGGGGTGTGGCTCAGTGGGGAGGGGGGGTGCCTGCCAGGTATTGCATGAGGTCCCAGAGTTCCACCTCAGTACCTCAGCCTGCAATATGCAATAGAGTCAATCAAAATCCCATCCACACAAGGGCTGCTTTGGGTAAGAAACAAGTTCTGGAGGGGCTCATTCCCTTCTGGAACAGGCTGTGTGAAGATTCCTACAATCTATAAATGAGCAACTGTCCATGTCTAAAACACTGAAAATGACAAGCCCAACCTTAGGGCACACAGACCAAGTTCAAGTAGAGGAAGGCCACCCAGCCTGTGCCTAAGATTCAGTAAGCAAGACACAAAAGAATCCAATCAGAGGACAGAGACACACAGGCTGGGGTGTGGCTCAGTGGGGAGGGGGGGTGCCTGCCAGGTATTGCATGAGGTCCCAGAGTTCCACCTCAGTACCTCAGCCTGCAATATGCAATAGAGTCAATCAAAATCCCATCCACACAAGGGCTGCTTTGGGTAAGAAACAGGTTCTGGAGGGGCTCATTCCCTTCTGGAACAGGCTGTGTGAAGATTCCTACAATCCAAGAACACAGCCGATCCTGGAGGAAATGCGTCAATGCCACCCAAGAGGGAATCCAGCGAGGAGAGCCCCCTGCCCACACCCAATGGTGTGGAGGGTGGTGAGGACGGTGGTGGCAGGGGAATACTGAGCACCCCGGCCCCACTTCCCAAGTTGATCATGTGCCCGGCATACACCCCAGGACCATCTGTCCATGTCTGTCCATGTATGTTCACAGCAGCTCTGTTCACCATGACCCAGGCGGAAAACCACAGTGGACACGCTGTGGCCCAGTCACTAGAAAATGCCTGCCACTTAGTCACAGTCAGTCACTAGGGTGACTCCCAAAGATGCCGTCAGCCCCAAGGAACCGTGGTTGGAACCGCTCATAGCACAAATTCACCAAGCCAGGAGCCTGTACCACAAAACCAGGGTCCTTGTAACCTCAGGGTGGGGCCTGTCTTGGGGAAGAGTCTTGGGGTTCTTGGGGGCTGGCAGTTTGCTGATGGTTCCCAGACTCGCTCTAACCTAGAGGCTAATGCTGCAGATGGTTACCTGCTCTGAATTCCTTCCCTGGGGACTACTGTACTCTTTGGGGGTAAGTTATGACCCACCAGCGGGGCAGCTTTGGGCTTGCTAAGCACCCCAAGCTCTACCTCTCCAGGACAGAGGAAGAACCACAGCTCATATAGAGAAAGGGCTGCCCAGGGACCAGATGAGCCAGCATAGAGGATAGCTGGGATCCAGGGACATGCCAGGGCTGAAGTGTCACAGAAAGTTTTACAGGCAGCTAGAGACAGGGTAGATGAGCAGGGATGAACAGGGGTCAGGAGCTGATGGTGAGCCAGAGCTAGGGTGGGCAGGCCATCACTGAGAATGGCTGCATACCCATTATGTGTTACTGGGAGCCCCTTGTGTGTGGGTCCTTGCCAGGCACTGGGACCAACTGAAGTTGAGGGGTCAGAGTCAAGCCCTGCTCTCAGAGTGCCCATGTGGGGCACCAGGAAGGAGAGGGACCTCATTCCAGGTGGCAGGGACTCACCCTCGACCTCCACTTCCCCAAGCCCTGAGGCCTTTGTGCTCTTAAGGTATGTCCTGTCTATCTTGTCATCCTAAGCCCCAACTCAGGTGTCCCAGGAATCTTTCTCCAATACCCCAGGTCAGTGTCCCAACCTGGTACCCAGAGCATCTTGGGCAGATCCCAATGGGTTGTCCCCAGCAAGTGTGCCTGCTTTGGACAGCTGGACTTCAGCTTTCTGCACTGGGCCTGGTACACAGATGGGGCAAGAACCTTGGGGGACAGTCTGGCGGGTATTAGAGCTTCACAGTTTGCTGTGTGGTCAAACAGAACAGGAAAAGGCTTCCTGGGAGTCAGGCAGAGGGGCGAAGGCAAGCAGACTCCAACTGCATACTTGCTCAAAAAAGGAAGCACTGTGGCCTGGTGGGCACAGTCATTTTTCCCATTCTGCATGAGCCACCCCTGCTCAAGCCTTAGGGGCTGAAGGAGTGGGTGGGACTAAGGCTCAACTGCCCAGAGCTCAAGCCATGTCTGAAGTCCAGTCTGTGACATACATATAGAAACCATGCTCTGGGCTAGGAGGCACGACCAGGCTCATGTCACCGTCCCTCTGGGTACCCAAGACCCTTTCATTCTACCACAAAAGAGCTTTTCTCTTGGCTGGGGCTGCCCTGGTCATACTCTGCCCTGGCTAATGTGCTCCAGACCCCCAGACCAGGCACTTCCATCTACTTCCCAACATCCTTTTTTGGGGACCCCCATTTTGCAGCTGAGAAAACAGGCCTGGAGGAGGACTTTCCCAGAAACCAGATTTGTGGGACCCCAAATCCTGTTACCTCCCCTGAGGGAGGCCATGAGACTAGATTCCCTTGGCCTCTGGTTCTTTTGGTTCTTGTGCTGGACCCTAAACCTGAGACAGAAACCTAGAGGTCATCCATACCCATACCAGCAGGGAAGGAATGTTCTAGAGCAAGCTGTTTGAGCAGACTGCTAGGGGGCCAGCAGCTGAAAACATGAGATCACCTCCAATTATGGGGCGGGGGGAACCTTCCCTACCCCAATTCCAGACAGACCCTCCTCAAGACCCCAAGTCTAGAAGGCCATGTGGCAGGATTCAGTCCAGGGGCTCAGGCCCTGCCCCCAGCTCAGGCCCCTCCCACCTCAGTTCAGGGCAGGACATCTGCCCACCTATGTCCCCAATCAGGTTGACCAGGTCTCTGTTCCCATGCCTGGGGAGGCTCAAGACCCCTGACTGAACATAAGGAGAGAGGGAAAGTGGAAGGAAGCCATAAGGGGCCCAGCTGGCTTCAGAGAAGCTCGGAATGCTACCTTTGCCTCCAGTCCATTTGGGTTGAGTCGTGTCACCCCATCCAGAGCCCCTCCCCAACTGGATGGAGGTGACAGTGACAGCCAATGTGGGGCATCAAGTAGGGTCCTGGCCTGGGGTGAGCAGTCTGGGTTTGGACCTGAGGCCATTGCTATGACCATAGCCACAAATGTGGGCCTCTAGGCCTGGCCACCTCCACCTGGGCCTGGGCCATGTAAGGTGGGCCCTGGTCCACTGATACCAGATTTTGGTTTGAGGTCCCAAGAGACTGGACCCCTCCCAGCCTAGTTCATGCTGATCTGGGCCTGTGGTCCTTTGCACTTGGTCCCAGATACCTAGGTATCTGGAAACCATTCACCAACACTGAGGGTCAGCTGAGAAGGCCCAGCCCCTCTCCTTGAGCCAGGCCCTGTCTTGGGCCAGGCCCAGGCTCTGTTGGGCCTTGCCCCTTAGGGAACCAGTGGCCTGCTACCCACAGTTCTCTCCAAGGTGCTAATTTTGGCCTTGGGAAGGAAGGCTAGGAGACCTCCAGGCCAGGGGCAATGGCCCCGAACTCTGCACCATAGGGCCAGGCCTGATGGCACACAGCCTCGGCCCTGGCCTGGGAAGAAAAACAAGTGTGTGTGTGTGGGTGTGGGTGTGGGTGTGGGGGTCCCGAAGGCACGGTGAGGGCGCCAGAGAAGTCGCGAATATTCAAATGGGCTGATCCCCGGCCTGCCGCGCGCAGCCCCTCGGAGTCCCGCGCGGCTCCAAGTTGAGCTGCGGAGGAGGCCTTCGGGGTGCTCCGGGCCGCGGCCGCGGGATTCCCCCAAAATGGCTCCAAGACGTGGGGCCTGGCCGGCCGCGCGGGCTCCATCCCTGCCCGGCTCAAACTTAACCGCTCCGGGCGCGACAACTGTCGGCGCCACCCCGGGGACGCGGCGCTGGGATCCCGGGGGGCCAGCGCGAGGGTCGCGGGGACCGGCTCGGGGTGAGCCATCGCTCCTCGCCGCCCGCGGCCGCCCCGGG